TCGGGTGCCAACTAATGGTCTTGGAACCTTAAGTTGAAGTTTTCTTCTGCCGTCTAGGATCAGATTACATTCACTGCTAGTACCACTGGCGTATCTAAAACATGATAGTCTGAATATTGATTTATTTGTGTATACAGTTTTCCCATTTGTTCCATTTAAAAGCTAAATGGCTTTTTATGGTCCTTATTAAAAGCAGTTCCAGGGTGTTCTTTTGTTTGAGTTAGTTTGTGAAATAAATATCTGAGTGCCCACCGTGTGCCAGACACTGTTCTGCACTCTTGGACTACATCCATAAACTAAACGGGCAAAGGGTCCCTGTCTTTGGGGGACTTACATTCCAGTGGAGGAGGCAGATAACAATAAATATAATTTGGGCCAGGTCCAGTGACTCTCGCCTCTAATCCCAGCACTTTGGGAGACTGAGGCCGGCAGATTGCTTGAGCCCAGGTGTTTGAGACCAGCCTGAGCAACATGACAAAACCCCGTCTCTACAAAATACAAAGAAATTAGCCGGGTATGGTGGCATGCACCTGTAGCACCGGGAGACTAAGATGGGAGGATTGCTTGAGTCCCGTGGAGGTCAAGGCTACATTGAGCCATGATCACACCACCACGTTCCAGCCTGGGTGACAGAGCGAGACCCTGTCTCAAAAAAAAAAACATTTGTAGAGTCATACTGCTAATAAATAATTGGTATGTTAGAGGGTGCTGTGTACTATGAAATAAAAAGTAGAACAGCTAACATGGTGGGGGGTATAATTTTAAATAGGATGGTTAGAGTAACGTCATTGAGAAGGTACAATCTGAGTAAAGGCATGGAAACCTGTGCAGATACATGGAGAAAGAGCATTCCAGGCAGAAGGAACGATCTATACAAAGGAAAACCCCAAGGTCGGGTGTACCAGGCCTGTTTGAGGAACAGTGAAGAGGCCAGTGGGGCTGGAGGGAGGGAATGTGAGAATATCTTGGCTTTCTAGGAATGTGTTTCTCCTCAGTCAATTTCAAAAAGCTCATAAACCAAAACAAATGAATAATTAGGCAGAGAACTCCCATCCCATGAATGTTCTTCAGATGGTAACCTATAAACACCCAGACTCATGTCTTAACTCAAATTAGGTAATTCCAAAATAATGCAAACGTTCCTTAAATTCAGTTCACAGGGCAGCTGAGCAAACAAGATCTCTTTTATGTGCATAAGAAACTGAAGACTTTTGCCATTCCAATTTCTAGATCTCCAGATTAGAAGCCAAAAGGCTCTTCGTTGCAGCAGAGGATGGCAAAGATGCCAAGTGCACTTGGCATCTTAAGAGAGGCAGCGATTGCGGGCTTAGGGAGAACTGCCCTTTAAGAGCAGCTTTTCTTAGGTCCCTTCTTTCTTTTGAGCTCAGTAGCACCAAATCCTTTTCAATTTTTTATTTAGCAGTCCACATTTTCTGTTCTTTGACGCAGTGAAATTTTCCATTTGTTCCCTAAGTTTCCAATCTTAAATTTGGCACACTACTTTCATAAGGCCATAATCAATGCCCACTATGGTAGAATATTGCCCAAGTGGTGTGTACATCACGTGTATTCTGTGGGTGTAGATCATCAGCACTGTCTTTGTTTCAGACGCACAATACTTTTTATAAAGAGCCACACCCAGTTTCTCCCGTGAGATCGCTAGGGTTGTTCCAGTAATACTTGCCCGCAGCTAATCCTTTCCCATGTTGTTTCTGAATTTTATTTTTGATAAGTAGAGTATCCTTTTGTAGTTTCTTAAGCTTCAGATTGATTCCTTTCCCAATTTGTCATGGTTGGTCAGTTTGAATCCTCTTCTGTGAGTTGCTGTTCATTGTTTCCAGCTTCGTTTTCCGTGAGGCTGGAGTGAAGTCAGATTACTAAAGACATGTAATCCCAGCACTTTGAGAGGCCAAGGCGGGCAGATCATTTGAGGTCAGGAGTTCGAGACCAGCCTGGCCAACATGGTGAAACCCTGTCTCTACTAAAAATACAAAAATTAGCCGGGCGTGGTGTGGGCATCTATAATCCTAGCTATTTGGGAGGCTGAGGCAGGAGAATTGCTTGAACCCAGGAGACAGAGGTTGCAGTGAGGTGAGATTGCACCACTGCACTCCAGCCTGGGTGACAGAGTAAGACTCTGTCTCAAAAAAAAAAAAAAAGAAGAAGAAGAAGATTACTAAAGAAAATGTTCAGAAGCATGGATCTTTGACTTTCTGAGGCAAAAAATAGTCCACATTCTTCTCATAGCCAAAAAGGAACATGGTACAAGTTCATATCTTTGTGAATTAGAAAGGCCCTTGAGAAATTTAACAGGCCTTTTCTCTCCTTCCCCCAGGCAGGAGTGCATATAGATCACCCCCAAATGTACTAGTCTGCTCTCTTTTTCTTTAAAAGGAAATGCAACTACCTCTTTTGACCTCCAGTTCTGTTGCCATTTTAAATAGGAAGGTCAAGAACCTAGCATTGGCCAGGTGCAGTGGCTCACACCTGTAACTGTAGCACTTTGGGAGGGCTGAGGCAGGCGGATCACTTGAGCCTGGGAGTTCAAGACCAATCTGGGCAACATGATGAAACCCTGTATCTACAAAAAATTAGCCAGACACAGTGGTGTGTGCCTGTAGTCCCAGCTACCTGAGAGACTGAGGTGAGAGGATCACCAAGCCTGGTGGTCGAGGCTGCAGTGAGCTATGATCGTGCCTGGGCAACCGTGAGACCCTGTCAAAAAAAAACAAAACAAAACAACAACAACAACAAAACACCTAGCATTTAGTAGACTTAAATTTATTAACTGTTGAATGATAAATTAAAAGAGAGAAATTGAATGCTGTGAAACAAAACAAGCCTCTTGTTTTTTTTTCTTTGAAACTGAGTCTTGCTCTGTCAACCATGCTGGAGGGCAGTGGCGTGATCTCATCTCACTGCAGCCTCTGCCCCCCGGGTTCAAGCGATTCTCCTGCCTCAGCCTCCTGAAGAGCTGGGACTACAGGCGCCCATCACCATGCATAGCTAATTTTTGTATTGTTGGTAGAGATGGGGTTTCGCCATGTTGGCCAGGCTGGTCTTGAACTCCTGACCTCAGATGATCCACCTGCCTTGGCCTCCCAAAGTGCTGGGTGGCGTGAGCCACCGTGTCCAGCCACAAGCTTATTGTTAAATCTCTCTTTAGTTCGTACTCTGATAACTGGGTTTTATATATAACTAAACCTATGATAGGTGTGTATTCAATTATTTTTAATCCTTCCTGTCTGTCTAAAATATTGTACACTTGAATGTAAACTCGAAAGTAATTGTGTAATGATGAATAAAGTGAACTTGATTTTTTTTGTACCTCTTCATGTTGTAACATATTTATTTTCCTTTTAACTCTACGAATAACCGTCACACAGATCTACTTCTTATCTTTCTTATTCTCCTGTTCTTGGTTTTGCTATGGATGGGTTTTGGATTCCATGCTCGCAACCTGGGGACCTCCAAGATATTTCACCTGGTGTAGCCCAGTGAATTCACTTAATCACTGCAGTCAGTTACGCTTGAGGGTTTTTAATGGTAAAATTTTTTAATTTTCAAAATCTGTTATTTATTTATTTTTGAGATGAGTTCTCACTTTGTCACCAGGCTGGAGTGCAGCGGCATGATCACGGTTCACTGCAGCCTTGACTTCCCAGGCTCCAGTGATCCTCCCAAATCAGCCTCCCGCGTAGCTGACACTGTAGGCATGCGCTACCACACACGGCTAATTTTTGTATTTTTGGTACACATGGGGTTTCACCATGTTGCTGAGGCTGGTCTTGAACTTCTCAGCTCAAGCATTCTACCTGCCTGAGCCTCCCAAAGTGCTGGGATTATAGGCGTGAGCCACTGCGCCCAGCCAAAAAACTCTTTTTTAATTTTTAGCTCTATTTAAGTTGGAAATCCTCAAGGAAGTGAAAAGGGGTGAAAATTAAGTGGAATATATTTACTAAACATTTTTATTTTTATTTGCTTATTTATTTATTTTGAGACAGGATCTCGCTTTGTCACCTAGGCTGGAGTGCAGTGGCACGATCTCAGCTCACTGCACCCTCTGCCTCCTGGGTTCAAGCAGTTCTCCTGCCTCAGCCTCCCTCCTAAGTAGCTGGGATTACAGGTGTGTGCCACCACACCTGGCTAATTTTTATATTTTGTGTGGAGATGGGGTTTTGCCATGTTGGCCAGGCTGGTCTCAAACTCCTGAGCTGAAGTGATCCTCCTGCCTCAGCCTCCCAAAGTGCTGGAATTACAGGCGTGAGCTGCTAGGCCTGGCCCATTTTAATTTTTATAACAGAAAAATCTCCCCTTTATTAAGACTTGTCAGTTTATTTGTTTGTTTGTTTGTTTTTGTTTTGAGACAGTCTCATTCTGTTGCCCAGGCTGGAGTGCAGTGGCATGATCTTGGCTCTCTGCAACCTCCGCCTCCTGGATTCAAGCAATTCTCTGCCTCAGCCTCCTGAGTAGCTGGGATGACAGGTGCCCACCACCACACCCGGCTAATTTTTTGTGTAGAGATGGAGTTTCACCATCTTGGCCAGCCTGGTCTTGAACTCCTGACCTCTTGATCCACCTGCCTTGGCCTCCCAAAGTGCTGGGATTACAGGCATGAGCCACCCGTGCCCAGCCTCAAATTTTAACTCATAGAGAATATCCTTTATAATGATGGCATCTTCTGGAATGCCCCAGACTTGGAAGAATCTGCATTTGTACACAGTATATTGTGTTTACTCTGTTGACATAAAACTAAGCTACTGAGGGTTATTTCCCATGGGTAACCCATGCTATTTTCGTAGTAGAAATTCAATTGTTAAGGACTCACTAGAATCCTTAAAGAGTTATCTTGCCCTTAAAGAGTTATTCAGTTTCATTTTTAATGAATAACCTATGCCATTTGTGATGGAATTGTTTGTATGATCATACTACTTGATTTATGGGAAATATCTGATATTTTTAAAGTCTCCTTCCTTAGCAACATGTGTCATTATTTTCAGGATATACCTTCTCAGAAGCTGCACAGGAGGAAAAGTAGTGACAAAGAAAGAAGTTGTCATTCTTTGCACGGTAAAATCATCACCTCCAGTCACCAACTTATAATTCAAATTAGGTTTTAATTTGTTCATTATTTCTTCTTGAAACACTTTTGTTCCCTATACATATGCGTTACTTTGGCTTTATAATAGAAAATAACAAGCAACATCTGAGCTCTTTTGTTTGTTTGTTTAATTTTTTGAGACAGTGTCTCGCTCTGCCGCCCACGCTGGGGTGCAATGGCGCGATCTCGGCTACCTGCAACCTCTGCCTCCCGGGTTCAAGCACTTTTTCTGCCTCAGCCTCTTGAGTAGCTGGGATTACAGGCGCCCGCCACCCCACCCGCCTAATTTTTGTATTTTTAGTAGAGATGGGATTTCACCATCTTGGCCAGGCCAGTTTCGAACTCCTGACCTCATGATCCACACACCTCGGCCTCCAAAAGTGCTGGGATTACAGGCATGAGCCACCATGCCTTGGGGTTATTCTTCTCAATCCTTAAGGTCTTTCAGAAACCTTACCTCTGGTGAGGTCTTTCTCCTTACATTGTTCAGATAGGGGGTCATTGTTTGCTGGTGAAATGGCAAGAATAAGTGGCATCAGTCTGGCATTTCCTCAGTGACTCCGTTAAGGCACATGTTCAGGAAATGAGTGCGATACAGATCTTATCTGTATCTACCTTCTACAGAAGGTAGAAGGTCTCAGCCATGCTAAGGGATAAAAGTAAGAGCCAATCAAGTTCACCATAGATAGTGGAAATATTTCAAGTCTGGGATCCACAGAGGAATCAGATCTTGGCACAGCTAGACATGATTCCTGTCTCTCTGTGTGCTGAGATGGAGGAAACAGTGAGTTTGCTTTATCCACTGATGGGAAAGTCTGCAGTCTACATATGAAACTGAATTCATCAACTACCCAAGCCAAGTCTTTAGGATTTTATTTAATGTGTTCACTCCTGACAAGCTTGTTGTTGAGAACTCTTTAGTAGTACTTTACACCGGGCGTCTTTCCCTGCCTCCCAAATCTGATCGTTGGTAAAAACCCAGATGTGTTGGAATTAGTCCAAAAGCCACAATTAGAAAGGTTTGGTTTCTTCTCAAGTCAGAGGATGACTCTTTTCCCTTAAGAAATGAAGTTAACCCTTTGCTATGTTTATGCTGGAGAAATAAACCATTCTTTATTCCAGTCACCCCTTTGCTATGTTTATGCTAGAGAAGTAAACCATTCTTTATTCCAGTCAGTTTTATTTTTTAAAAAGCAGTGGAGGAAGCTTTCTGATCCTTTTACAGCAAGAAACGTACCACTCTCTCAAGCTGGTAATTGTATATCTTTTATTTCCAGGCAAGAATACTTTTTAAAACATTAGAATTTCTCTCTCCATTTGATTTATTTTGTCTGCTAATATACCCAAGTGTATTACTCTGAGCTCCTTCTGGCATGTCACTTGTTTGAGTTGAGGACTATGCACTGGACATACAGGAGAAACATAGCTCAGAATGAGGAAGGCGGGCTGGGAGACCTCACTCTGATTCTCAAGTGAGGGGAAGCCTAGCGCTTGCTATCTTTTTAGCACCAAGATGCTATGAAAACGAGAGCTGCTGGGATTCTTTGATGTTTTCAAGTCCACAGGTCCTCTGCTGTGTGCAAACTTAATTTCATTTGGATAACCAGTTCCTTTTCTCTTGTCCCTTTACTATGTTTCTTCCGGATTTTTTCTAGAACACTCGCCCTTTTCCTTTTTTCATCCACCAGAGAGAGAAGCATTATATTTCCTGCCAAGCTGACAGGTTTCAGAGTACAAGTGTTCTGTCTCATATGAAGACTTCAGCCTTAACATTTCCATTAATGAGGTTGCTGTTACTTTTCTCAGCTTTTACCAAGTATCTGACTTTTATTTTGCTGTACTCTATTGGCCTTGAAGGATTTCTCAGTGGCTTAGCAGTGATTAAGGTAATGAGGACACTGCCGCAGGTAATTGACTTTTGTTTTCCTGTGACAGAAAAACATTTTCCACTTTTGCTATACATAGCAAGTCCCACAAAAATGAAAACTCAAACCATGATCACATAAAAAAAATTAAAGTGTGAACTAGTTGATGTATATTGGGAAGTTAGCTTTGAAACTCTTTAGCAAGAACTGCATATTGTTTAGGGTACATGCTAAAATTGATTTTTTTTTCCCCTGAAAACACTACTCTAGAAGGAATAAAGTATGGTTTATGCTTATATGCCACTGGGGTATACATGTGA